GTGGTGCTCAATCTATTAGGAGGTATTTATAAATTGTAAGTTCCAACGACACATGGGGGGCATCTCACACTTGAGCACCCAACACACCTTGAAACAATAAAACACTCAGGTTATCCTAACTCTTCACAGTGGAGTAGGTCATTTTGACCGAACCACTTAAATTGTGTTTTACTTGTGTTGTCTCTCATTATTTACTATTGCATTAAATACTTGATATGTGGTGTATAAGTCCACTTTTGTGCATCATCAAGTTAATTTTTAGTTTATTAAAAAAAAACTATGAATGTGTGTTTGGTTAAGCGATAATTGAATGTTACACTCAAATCTTAATTTTGTATTTTTTATTCATATGTTATATGAGTCAATACCAACATGATACAAAAATAAACAGATTGGATTAGTGTGACATGATATATTAAGAGAGTTGGATTAGGATTGATAAATGCTTGATGCAAATCCACGATACAATTGTCACTCCTTATTTGTCCACAAGTATTAGACTAAAGTTTCTAATTATATATATTTGTGAATTTCTTTTTAATATCTAATCAGTTTTCTATTCTGAGCCACTTGATTCACCAAAAACACCTACTCTTTATGGCTTTGCGTGCATATTTACACTTTGAGGGAAAATTCATCTTAAATATGCACTCTCAATTTGTTGAATTCATGAATTCAGTTTTACTAATTGCGAATTTAGTATCACAAAATTTGTGAATTTAAAGTAACTATTTTGTGAATTCAAAATACAAATTAGCGAATTCATATCATTAGATCTACGAATTTAGAAATTAAATTTGCAAATTGGGGATACATTTTAGAAAAAAAATTATTTCTAACCCTTATTAAATGCCCAAATAAGGTTAATTATGTACAAAATGTAGTACAATTAAATAAAATATCTTATTATAATGAAGAATACTTTTTAAGAATTTAAATAATAAAATATAATTTTCTCGTATTAATCTAAAAAAAAATTGACACATGGAATCAAGTTGTGATTTTGACTGTTGATTCTTAAACCTTACAAAGAAGGATAAAAGAAAAATAAAAGTGCAAAAAATTGACACATGGAATCAAGTTGTGATTTTGACTGTTGATTCTTAAACCTTACAAAGAAGGATAAAAGAAAAATAAAAGTGCAAAAATATTTTAAATATCAATTGTTTGGCAGTATTTTCAAATATAAAAGATCTTGTATTTTCACTATCTTGCATCCTTGAGGAAGTACCAAATCAAACAACCCTGTATTCTCCATTCAGAGGTAACTCGTCCCTCTAATTCCATTTATCTTTATTCTTCCAATCTTCTACACCTTTTTTTTAGCATTTCTTCAAATGGAGAAGAGGGAAATGTAAAGGGAGGAGGGGAAGGGAGGTTTGATTATTAGGGTTCAAAACAATGTCATTTTGTTATAAATTAATATAAAACTACATCGTTTTGAACTAAAGTTTTTGCTTCGACTCAATCCTGAAGCAAATACTCGTAGTTTTTAGTTTTAGCCTCTTGTCGAAACAAATATTGAATTTTTTACTTCGGAAGAACATGCCGACATAAAAAATAGAGTATTTTCTTCGGCATTTAGCCGAAGCAAAATCCTAGTTTCTTGTAGTGATCCAATTGTTCCTCAAACTATTTTTTCAAGATAAAAAATTGGTAGAAAAAAATTTTCTTGAAAATCCCTAAGATGCATAATCGGATCACTTTCAATTCTATTTTCCATCATAAGCATCCTACATTAAAAATAACTAAGGGCTCATCTTAGGTGTCTAGGTCATTACCTTTGTCTTAGGCATGAAGGTTCATACGAAGGTTGAATGATGTAACTTTGACATTTGATCTCCTCCCTTCAATGTTGCTTTTGAATATTGAGCTTGATAGCATTATGATCCTGAAAGTGGTTAAGATTTTACAATGGACTCCACGAAATTAGTCAATTACAAAACATTATCTAACAATAAGGACAAGAAGAAAAGTTTCAAACACTTGGAAATTTTTACAAACACAAAAACTTTTACAAGTGCTTGACATAACAAGAAAGGCAACTCTTCAGTTTGCCTCATGTTCAGTCTCTTGCTGCTTAGCGGTGCCTCAGCTTACTCTTTTTGCTGATTTTCCCCAACAGCTCCCTTAATTGGGGTATCTGGTGGCTCCTTCTTCAGGAAAAATTGGCTTGGGTTGCTCTCTGAAGTTGTCGAATCCTTCAAGAAACCCACCAACAACGTCCTCTTTGAGCTTCTCAACTTCTTCATTCATGGCCATCAAAGTTGCTTCTAGCTCTTTCAAAGCCCCTTCCATCTTAGAGCGCACTTGAGAGGCGCCATCCAGATCAGCTTTCAGCTATGCTACTTCTTCCTTGGCCTTAGTCTTCTCATATTTGGTTGCATTAACTTCTGCAACCAACTTGGAAAGTTCAACTCTTTAGAGGCCAGTTTCTTCTTCAAAGAACTGTCTGAAGTCTAAAGATCCTTTAATTCATGGTGGAAGGCCCTGAGCCTATACTTGTAAGCAGTTAATTTGAGATTCTTTTCATTGCACAGCTTGATTAAACCCTTGAGCTTGGAGGCTCATGCACTTGATGTAGGTGATAGACTGAAAGCAAGGGTACAATAATTAGAAGTATAACCCACACATAGGAAATTCAAAAGCAAGAAAAGCCTTATCGCAGACAAACCATGGAGAACATTAGCAACCTTGTCGCTAAACCTAAGCTCTCCAGCCTCGCGAAGGTCTTCATCAGGAACGATGGCCGAGAGTATCTGAACGGTCGATACAGGATTGCACAGAAAATTTGGTCCGCCCCTAACCTGAACTAGTCGATCAAAACATGCACTATTGTTTTTGACCTAGCCCATACTTAGCAAGATTCTCGGTGTCATGAGCTCCAAGAGGGACTTCAACCCATGTTTCTCGGCCCGGGTAACACGAGCTAGCTTCGGAGTAGTAAGAGAAGGTCAGAATTTTACAAAAATAATGACACCTTGGTTAGACAAAAAGAACAATAGAGGCTTAAAAATGGATGTAAGACTTATGTGTATTGGTAGCAACATCCCAAAGGTGAGGGACTCGAATTTCAGAGCTCAACTCTTTCCCAAATTCCCAATTATCCCTAGAGACAAAAAAGAAATCATATTTCCACTGCACATGAGAGGTGGGCAAGTCAAACACTAGGGTCGTTGTTTTTACCCTCTTGGCAAAATAAAGAAAACCAAGGGCTGAAGAAGACTTCAAATGGAATAGGTGGGCTAGCTCAGAAATAGCTGGGTGAGACTCAATGCCATTCTCTCCCCAATGGACTAGAAAACTCACCAGGAGTCCCCAGCCATTTGGGACACCCTGGTAGGGCACAAGTTATAATGAATAAGGGCTTCTCGGATAAATGGGTGCATGGGGAACCTCAAGCCCGACTAAAAGGCTGCTTCAAAAAAGTAGACCATCTTAGGACAAGGAACGTTACAACAGTCCTCAACGTCTGGAATGTGGATAATCACGTTGTCAGGCAAGCCATACTCCTCCCTAATGGCATAAGCTCAATCATCATCGAACCTACTCCAAATAGAGGCCGCACAGTAGGACAAGTCAATCTGATCCCAAGAAGCCCTCTATTTCTTGGGACTTGCTAAAGTGGAGGCACCCCCCGAATACCCTCGTTTCCTCCTTATAGTTTTTTTGGAGGACCTCACCAAGGGTACCTTCTCAGGCAGCTCTAGTTCATCGGTATCAACGACAACTAGCTTAGACCTCCTCCAAAAGTGAGATCCTTCTCTTTGGGGGAAGATCTCATCGCTTCCTCCTCACTGCCACCTCCACATTAAAGAAATGGAGGAACGAGTAGCAAAGGAGGCAAAGTTAGACTCGATCCTAACCATAGGAACTCCACACCTCAGACTACAATATAATAACGGAAAATTCAAAGAATAGTCCTCGATTTCCCTAGGGTCAAAGCTCTTGTCTCTAATCAGGGATAGCCTAGCTGTAGAAAGACTACCAACGAAGGAATTAAGAAAATCTAGGGAACTATGATGGCTCCTAAGGTAACAGAGCCTAAGGACTACAAATTGAAACCCTAAGGATCACCACCAAGGATCAATTCAATCCAGGGTGAAGAAAAGGAGAAATGCGTACCATAAGGATCCCAAAGTCTCTCTCTCTCTCTGGATGAAGAAGATGAAGGAGAAAAGTCTTCGATTTTGGCAGTTAAATCCCCTCAATTAATGTGCTGGACACGCATTCAATGAATTTGAGGTCTTGGACACATATATGTACATGATGAAAGTGTCTCGAAGATTGAGGCAGCAAGTACACAATGTGCCAGCATAACTACACTCACTTAGCTAAACAATCTTTTCACGTCATATCGATTACACGCCTAAAAATACAGCCAAGTTATAATGACCTACAGTCTGAGACAGCTCAACCCCCAACCTTTGGTTAACTCATGACCAACCGAGCTCGGGCTATCCGACCTGAAGGACACAACTCCAGCCTATTCAAGAAGGCAATGCAACTCGGACCTAGCCAGGACAGCTCAGGATTCGTCACACAGAGAAGAGGGAGAGCCCATGCTATGAGGTTTACCTTGGACATCAAACCATTACCTCAAAGAATGCCACCTCACTATTTCTAGAAACCCACGTGGCCTTTGGGAAGGCTATCTATAATGGCCAAATATTCTCCAATTAATTCTAATAGATTTAAGGGACTATGTTTTGCTCCACCTGCGAATCACTCACTTCTAATTCTCCAACATAGCTCAAAACTCATTTAATTAGAGCTACTCATACCTTCTAGTTATTCACACTATCAAGTATGATTCTTTTTTTCCAGGGGAAGTTTTGCTATAACCAGCGGTGCCATTGGTTCGCTAAAATGTCATATTCTGACAATTAATTTGTTCGTGAAACTATAGTACCAAAACTTATAATTTTTAGGTGTAAAATTGCAATAAAAAATAATCTCAAAAATAAATAATTTTTAGGGTTAACCTACATCTTTTTAGGGGGTCAGCTCAAATTAAGATATGAGTTATAACTTTTTGATTTGTTTAGATCAATGGTAATATGCCAATATCCATCTCAAACACCTCACAAAAATGCAATATGATACAATAAAGTAATTTTATAAAGAGTAATGTTATTCTGAACAAAAACATAAAGAGTAATGCGATATGATAAATAAAATAATTTCATAAATAGAGTTTCCCTCAAATTTTACCATGCACAATGTCCCTGGCTTTGGAAACATGGATAAATGGTGAAGGGATCATGAATAGGGGTGTCAAACGTGTCGGATTAAACGGTTACGTGTAGGGTTAAATAGGTGACAGGTGGAAAATATATAAATTCGTACACGACACGTTTAATAAACGGGTAAAAAATCTCAACACAAACACTAGGTAACACGACACAACTCGTTTAACCAGTTTAATTTAAAAAAAATTATATTAACAAATTTTAATACTTCACTTTTTTTTATTGTCAATTGCACTTACCTCAAAAAAAGAGGATTTTTTAGTCAAATCTTATAAAAATAAGACTTGAAAGCTTTAAAAAAAAAAAAAAAAGGTCATTGCTTTTTATAGGCAACTCAACCCTCCCCATCCTCCCCTCATTTTTCAATGTGGAACAAAAACAAAAAAACATTGGTTTACTTTTGTCTTTAAAGTACTCCTCATCTCCTCTCTTTTGTCTTTAAACTACTACTTTACTTCTTTCTTCTTTTTTTTTATTGATTCTTTTTTTCTTGCTTATTTTTTAAAATAATTATTAATTTATTATTATATTAATTTTATTTAAACGGGTAAACCTGTGAAAAACGGTTTGACAAGTCTCCCCCAAACACGACCCGTTTATTAAACGTGTTTGGCGTGTCAACCCGTTTATCACTCAAACTCGTTTAATTCGTGTCGATTAATTGTGTCGTGTCAAATTTTGACTGGTTTAACAATGAATTAGAAACCAATTAAGTCTTGTAAGAATATTGAAATATATTGAAATTGCTTGATTTTTCTGGGTTTATCATCTGTAAACTAGAATGGTTCAAAATCCAACCTTAACCCCCACATGGGAGAACATGAAATACCCATTGCTGTCATCAGCTAACTTGTCTCCACGCCATTTTAGCTCCTTATTGCAAAGTTGCATCAAATCAAAAGCTCTAAAACCATGCAAGCAAGTTCATGGTAAATTGTTAGCTTCTGGTGTTGATATGAACTCATTGTCTTTGAAGTCTAGGCTTGTGGGTGTATATGCAAGTTGTGCGGATTTGATATCTGCTGAGTTAATCTTCCAAGAAACACAAAACGCAAATGTTTTTGCGTTGAATTGGATGATTTCAGCTATGGCATTTAATGGGTACTATGAACAGGCAATTGGGTACTAATCTTTCTTTCAAGAATCAACAAATATACCGAATAATTATACGTTTTCTATTGCATTGAAGGCTATTGTTGGTTTGATGGATGTGAATAAGGGCAGAGAAGTTCATAATGCGGTACATAAAGTAGGTTCTGAATCGGATATGTCTGTGTGCAATGCTTTAATTGATATGTATTGCAAATGTGGTAGAATAAGTTATGCTCGGAGAGTGTTTGATAGAATGGTTTAGAGAGATATTGTTTCTTGGACATCAATGATTTGTGGGTATTCTAGTGTTGGAATGATTGAGCAATCACTTGTCCTGTTTGATGCAATGAAGTTAGAAGGTTTGAGACCGAATGATTTCACGTGGAATGCGCTGATAGCAGGGTATGCTAGAAAAGGACTTTGTGATGGAGCTTTTGCATTGTTCTCTAGAATGAGTGAAGAGGGTCTGCCTCCAGATTTGGTTACTTGGAATGCAATGATTTCAGGATTAGTTCAAGGTCAATGTGCTGTTGAAGCTCTGGAGGTGTTCCGGGACATGTTGATTGCCGGAATTAAGCCTAACCATGTGACTGTTACAGGGCTGCTTCCTGCATGTGCATTGATGAATTCAATTCAAATAGGGAAAGAAATCCATGGCCTCATATACAGGATGGTTCTTTATATGAATGTCTTTGTCACTAGCGCTCTTATTGACATATACTCCAAATGTGGAAGTGTTAAAGATGCTCGGAATGTGTTTAATGAGATTCCTATTAAGAATGTTGCATCATGGAATGCTATGATAGGATGTTATGGGAAGCATGGCCTGGTTGATTGTGCGATCCAACTGTTTGAGACGATGCAAGATAGGGAAATGCAGGCAAATCAAGTCACTTTAATCTGTGTTCTTTCTGCTTGTAGCCATGGTGGATTAGTTGAGAAAGGTTTGACAATTTTTAGGTGCATGAGAGAAATGTATGGCATTGAAGCCAGCAAGGAGCATTATGCTTGTGTCGTGGATCTTCTGTGTCGTTCTGGAAGGGTGGATGACGCTTATAGTTTTGTGAAAGAAATGCCAATTAGAGTCACAGATTCAATTATTGGGGCTTTCTTCAATGGGTGTAAAGTTCACAACAGAAGATATCTAGCTGAAAAGATAGCAGAAGATATCTTGAGAATGAAGTTGAATAGGCCCGGGGGTCTTGTGACGCTGTCCAATATTCATGCTTCTGAGGGAGAATGGGAAGAGGTTGAGAATGTAAGGAAGATGATGAAGGAGAAGGGAGTCCACAAGAACCTGGTTTCAGTTGGGTTGAGGAGAAGAACGAGTTCTCCGAAGTGAGACTAGGGAAAGCAAGCACGGGAATTTGAGATTGCAAGTAGTATATATATGATGATACGATTGCTTTATTCCCTTCTCAAAATCGTCCATAAATTTAGTGAAAACAAAAAGTGTTTATCGCCATCTCAAA